TTGTATATAATAAGTGATGTTGATTTTGTATTAGCATTTCAAATTTTGTTTTTGTTTTGTTTTTTTCTTAAAGTCCCTCCTTTCTCCTTAAGATCTGATCTTATCCTTCTGGCTATTTGTAAATACAACAACCATGGCATATTCCATCCTTTACTAAGTAATTCTTGCTGGGGCTTTTTTCAGTTCATAGAATATGAGTGGACCATGTCCACATATATAATTAACTTCCTTTTACTGTGATTGTCTCCAACATGAAAAGCATTTGAAGGAGAAGCTAAAGGTGAAATTGTTGGGCTTATTATTCCCTTGGTAGAATTCCATACTTTTATCAGGCTTTATCTGATAATATGTTCTTTTAAATGTTTATCCTCCTTTGTGTCTCTGTACCATAAGTACTGTATATATGAAATCCATTGGCCAAACTGCCTCCCTCCAGAATTGCCATTCTGCTATTTGGAGGCTTTATCCACTCTGTATTCCATAACAGACAGCTTGCTTTTAATACAATGTAAAATTTGGAAGGGCAAGGCCACCTCTCTCTTTAGAATCTTGTAGAATTTTTTGTTTAACTCTGAGTCTTTTCCCATTCCATATGAATTTACTGACAGTGTCTTGGCATTCTTGTAGAGTTCCCTCAGAAATTCTAATTGGTGCCATTTGAAATAGATAATTTATCTTGGGTAAAACATTTATTTTAATTATTGCAAATGATCCTGACCAAATAGCTTTAGATTCTACCACATTTCAAGATCTTTTTTAATCTCTTGCCATCATTTAGTATAATTATTTTGATATATTTTTTGAGTGTTTCCTGTCAAGTGCAAACCAAGATATTTCACTGAGTGGGCTATGTGGCAGCCAGATTCTTATTGCAGAAAATTAATTTCTTCTTGCATTAAAAATCTTGTAATTATTTTTGTTTTCTGAACATTAATATTATATCCAGAATAGTCTCCATATTTATGAATTATGCTCATTAGCTGTTTAATTGACTTCTGTGGTTCTGTAATAGTTAATACTACATCATCTACATAACACTTAAGCTTATATTCCTCTCCATGGATTTTGAGACCTGTTATCACCTTGGATTTATTCTGCCAGTATTTCTAACATGATGATAATCGTAAAGGAGAGAGTTGACATCCTTGCCTTGTTCCTTTACTGATTTGAAAGTCTGCAGAAAGTGCTCCATTGTCCATAATCTTTGTTTTTTGCCATTGGTATATACTATTAACTCAAGCTTGAAATTCCTTTCCAGGATTTATTTTATTCAGTTCTGCCAGCATGAATTGCTGCTGCAAATTGTCAAAGGCATTTTCCACATCTAAGGAGGTTACTGCAGATTTCTACTTCTTTTTATTTATATGTTCTATTGTATTGATTATGAACCTACTATTGTCCTTTATATTTCTCTTTGAGATGAAACCAGTCTGGTCAGTGTGTATAATGTCTGAAACACATTTCTTCAGTCTATCAGCTAATATAGTAGCAAAAAACTTATACATTCAACAAGGAAATTGGTCTATATGATTGTGGTTTCTCTTTCTACTTTCAGACTTGCAAGATTCTGTTACTGTAACCTCACAATAAAGGTAGTGTTAGTACCCATAGTTTGTGCTTCTTGTCTGGACTCCCTTGAAGGGCTGACATCAATCTTGCAAGTTTCAAAGTATTTCTCCCCTCCTTTACTTTTGCTTTCCAGAAGACTAGAGGGGGTCCCTTCTTGGGCACTTCCAACACCCCTTCTGTTCCTGCATGCTGAGATACCTTTTGCATGATGGTTGTCTAGGCTGTGGATCTTCCTCCTGTCTCCCAAGGCCATTCCCACATACCATTACATCATACCCCACCTTTTCTTTATTGGCTCTCAGGGGTCAGGTGACTCCCTCTGGGCACATAAGACTGGTATGTTCTTTGAAGGGCCAGCTGCTCCCCACTACACCTTTGATAACTGTTTTTTATTGAAGAAAGTTAAATTTAAAAAAAGAAAAAAAGGTCATAAGAAAAGAATTCCAGTGACTATGCTGTTTCAGGAGCAAAGCTTATTTATAGTATCAATATTTAAGTCTTTTTGCACCTTTCTTTCAGCTGCCCTAACAGACAGTTTGCTATCTCTTTCGGGCGGGAGGCCCAGTTTCCATCAGTCCCTTGTTCTTGTAATGGCTAGAAGTGATATCAGATGGTACTGGTCTAACTGTGGAAGAACTGAATATGACAGGGAGTAAGACAAGATGTATATCACTGGTTATTTACTGTATTTATGAATAAATGAAAAAGGAATGCTAGTGATGATATTAGGAACGGGTTGGGGACATAAATATACTTGTACTTTTTTACGCAGGTAATGCCTTGTTGTTGCCCGAGAGTCCAAATGATTTGCAGTAAAAGTTAGATAGGCTGTATGATAAAGCAAGGGGTCTGAAAATTGATTTACTAAAGTCCAAAGTAGTTGTCTTTGCAAACGAAAATAGAGTGAATGATTGCAAACTATACATAAATG